AGGGACGCTAACGATGAATAGTAATATTAAATGTTCATGTTTCCACGCGAGCAACCGTTAGTAGGTTTTTGTACAGATATTCTCCAGACATCCTCTATAAAATGATAAACTTACGGTCCAACGAACTCGTAATTCAGTGGCGCTCATGGCGCGAACGGTGACATTCTTCGGCGGATGAGCTGGAGGTGCCTGAATAGTCTGGAATTCTTTAGTTGCTTCTGAGGGAATGCTAGACCCGACCACATTGTTCGCTATCAAACGTAATCTGGAAAGAGGTGTTTTTAGAAAACTTCGCAAAAATCATCAAAAATCAGTTGGTACCTGTACAAAGTGAACGGAACCAAGCCGGTGACGGTAATAGTGGTCGCATCTGGGTCGCTGATTTCATACACGGTAAACCAAGTGGCGTTCCTGGTAGTTTGCGCTTGCACAGTCCACTTGGTGATGGAAGAGTTGCCATCAAAGCCTGGCGTGAATTGAAGCACAACCGAAAATGCTTCGATGTTCGATAGGGCCAGCTTGGAAGGCGGATGAGGCAGAACTGGCTCCACTCCAGACTGGATAATGGCAATCTGAAAGAACTTGCCTTGAAAATCCCCATTCTTCATAAGATGAAACCAACAAGTTGGTTAATCTTCCACTGGCTATGGTACATACCTTAGGAGGTCCAGGTCCGACAGCAGTCCAAGCAGTAACTTCGAATCGATAATGAGTAGTGGCTTGAAGCTCATTCACTTTTTCGCTCAAAGTATCAGCTGAGAGGTTTCTGAGCCGCAACGTGTTTGGCATGTCCTTGATCTGATACTGAATCTGGTAGCCCGTCAGTATGCCATTGATCTTCTTAGGCGGCTGCCACAGCACTTTAACAGCCCGATCGCTAATGTCATCAAATTGCAAGTTGGAAACCTCATCGGGAACTGTAAATTTGCAGCAATTGTGGTTCGAGTCGTGAGCGAATAATTTGGGTACCGACCATCTTCGAGAGTTTTCACTGGAACGAGGTCGCTGATTTCCCCGTCGCCTGGATCAGTGAAACAGAGAACCGTGATGTTGTAGTCGGTGAATTTTTCCAAATGCGTCATCAGTGCAGATTGCTCGGCATATGGGTCTAGAAGGTTGGGATGAACCGTCATCATGCTCGCCTCCACGTGGCCCCTACTGGAGTGCCAACGCCAGGCTTGTATTTTGTAGCCTAAAAAAAGCTGAATAGACGCGGGTTTTTTGCTAAATCAAGTTTAATTTGCCTTGATTTATCCCGTTGATTTTTTGAGGATCTGGGGGTTTCCACCAGATTTGCACTGCTGTGGAGTTGAGCGCCTCCACGTTCCGGATCATTGGCGGCGCCTCCGGAACACCTTCCTTGGTCTTGATTTTCGCCCCGTCAGTGAACACTCCAACTCCTTTGTTGTTGTAGGCGGCGATTTGGACGACGTAGTCCTTCCAGGTGATCAGATCAGTAATCAGGTAGTTTCTTTGGGCCTGGAAAGTATCAGTAGAAGATCGTGTGGTTGAGCATAAAGTTTTCGTCTCGTCCACCAACCTCGTTTGTAATGTTTCGGATGGTCCACGGGCTGTCGTTGTAACCGTACAGCCGATATCGAATGATGTAGCCTAAAATGAGGCCATTTCTGTGCTCTTCGAGCGGTGGCTGCCACTGCGTTATGATTTCTGAGGAACTGCGAGCGGAGCCCACAAATCCCACTGGGGGCCCAGAAGGTGCTAAAGACGACAATTTTCTTAGAAAGGGGCTTTTAGCTGTGTTGACAAAGACATGAGAAGAAGAAAAGCTGAAGACAATGAGCGTAAACGACAGGATGTTCAGGAGAATTGAATGAAGGATGCATTAGTGAGAAGTTATGAGTGAAGTGAAAAATGGTTAGCCATTCTATGCATCCTTAGGACACTTGCCAAAAGACTTGTGAAAAGTTGCAGATTTTTTTCATAACACACAACTCCTGTACATCCTAGATAATCAAAATAAAAATCAAAGTAGATGCAACATGACAACAAATTATCATGCAAAAAGTATGTAGTACATCCCACCTTTGAACAGAAATGTATATGAGCTGCCTGCATGATAAAAAATAAATAAAAACAAGTTACTGTTTCCTATAAAAAATGTTATAAACAGCGACAGCGTTTCCATATAATTAATTAATAATACAATAATAGTTAGCAATAGCACATTAAATTTGGATGTGCGCAACAATGTAATTCATAAGTTGTAGATAAGTTCTATATTGTTGAGGCGGATTCATTTTTTACAAACTTCTTGTTGGCTATTTCGCCTCAAATTTTTTTGTCGTATCTATCTCCTATTTCGCAATAGGAGATGGATATAGATATAGATCTTTCAAGGAGCACTATTTATTAATCTGTAATAAAAGACGTGGGGAAATTCTGTCATTTTTAAAGACACACATTTTTGAGGCGAAGTACCCAACAAGAAGTTTGTAAAAAAATGTAATTCATATTTGATTATTACATTTTAAATAGCTATGAGCTAGTTTGTTGATAAGACTGAATCGTTTTCATATGATCAAATGGCCTCCTAAAAGCCACATGAATTCAGTGGGATCCCTTCAGTAGAGAAAACGCGGTTTTCACCCTGCATTTTTAATTGTAATAAATAACAACCTTTCTAGATCTAATGTTGGATTACTATACCACTTAGGCCTGGGTAACTCAGTGAAATTTTAGGAGTTGGCGCAATACTACGCAAATGCCTTGGTGCACCAACCCAACGCACCGGCGCAGTAACTCAGCTCCGTTGCTATAAAAATGTTGATGACCTTTTTACTTGTTTTTAGATTTACTTTAAGGGCCAATTATTAATAATATTTTTAAAATTGAAAAATTTTTCAGTTTTAGTCAAGTTACTCTCTCCTCTAAATGTTCAATTTTCTAAAGTCTCAGTTAAAAATGCTGAAAATCTTCCGTATTTTTCGCGAAAAATTATAAAATAAATTTTGAATCGTTCATCGCTTTGTAAAAAGTTCTGAAATTCCTTTCCAGCTACCAACTTGCTCAAAAACGATCCATTTTGTAGAGTTTCACTTAAAAGACTGATGATCTGGAGGTCTTGTACGCAAAAAATTACAAGAAAATTTATTGCTGTAAAAATTTTACAAAAATTTATTTTAGCGTCGAATTTGGGACAAAAACGAAAATAAATTCCTCTCGTTTTTCATCAAAAATCATTAAGGATTTCTCCAAAATCGATCACAAAACTAAAAGTTTTTAATCGAAAACGCAAAAAATCATTATTTTCTGATGATTTTCTTTTTTTCTAACAATATTGGGGTCTTTTCAGCCAAAAATGACAAAATTAATTTTGCTAGAAAATTCGCCTCATTCATCGGTTTGCAGGAAACTTTAGAAAACCCATTTCAGTTTTGAATTTGGCACAAAAAGCAAATAATTGTATTCAGTTGTTTACCGAAAGTATTTATGATTATCTTGAAAAAACGACCAGAGAGCAAAAGTTTCAAAAAGTCGTTTGGCAAATTCGCCACCCTCATCGCTCTGAAGATTTTTAAAGTTTTTTTAAATTTTCAGGTCATTCTTTCGACGCAAAAATCGCATTATTCTTTAGATTTACTTAAAATACTGACAACCTTCAGGTATTTTCTGTGAAATTTATCAAAATTATATAATAATATAAAATGAAAAATTATAAGATACATTTTATTGGAACACTCGCCTCATTAACCGCTTTGCAAAAATTTTGGAGCTTTGAATTATGGACTAAACCCTAATAATAATTTATGGGTCTTTTCCAAAAATATTTCCCCAAACTGTAAAAGCGAAAGTTTATAATCATTTATTTGGAAAACTCTTGAAACCTGGAGTTTCCTCACTTTTAGGTCAATATTTCTAAACAACACTGTCTCTAAACAGAAAACCGCGTTTTCCTAACGTTTTACTGTAAAATACTCGCAAACTGAATCTTTTATGCAAAAAAATTAAGATATCGATTACAAGAAAACTCGTCGACTTTCTTTAGACTCAGGTCTGTTGCTGGGAAAATCTAGATGACTTTTTTTTAGTTGTTTCAAGAAATATAGTAAAATGTTACTCAGAAAAAATGTCGACGACCTTTTTTAGATGTGAAAATTCCAGTCTCGGGTTTCGTAAAGCTTTGACTAATGACATGTAACTCATTGATCGATGAGTTATAACTCGTTAACTCAGAGAGCGGCAACAACTCAATAGCGCAACTCAACACAGTATTACCCAGGCCTAATAACACTGTTCTTAGCATTGCTACTTTAAATTAACTGTTTTTATATATGGATGTGGGTGAAACACACACCAGTGACACAAACAAAACCAATCGTTCTTACCTTCTTGCGGCAACATAATTTGATTGCTCGGTTCCGAAGGGCTGCCCTCGCCAACACTGTTCACAGCGCTGACCCTGAACTGGTAAGAAGCTGCCGCCTTGAGGTTGGTCAGCATCGTCCAGCGCTGATCGCCCGAAACGTTGCTCAGCTCAGTCACCCAGTTGAGCAGGGGGTCGGGAATGGGGCCTGCAATAGGAGGTACTAAAGGGGCACAATTACACTGCTTAGGTGTTACGGTGGGCGGGACACTAGCGGCTACAGTTGAAACGCTGAGCATGCGAGCAGAATTTATTGGCGTAAATCAGGGCTGATATGAATAATCAAATAATTAAAATGCAAAATATAGTAACCAGGCTGGTAAATAAATTGAACAGTGGGGATCAAACGCATGTTTGCCCGATCCGATGTTAACTAATTTATGAAAATGAATTAATTTAACGAAAATTACTATAATGCAACTTAATTATGAATGCGCGTTCAGACCCAAAAGCCACTATCTACATGCTCATGCAGTTAAACAATGTTTTTGTGTTGATGCTGTTAACGTTCAGGAGAAACGAGCTTATTTTTTACTGTTTGTTTTTAATTACTATAAATTCAAAAAAATATTTAATTAATATAAATCCATGCTGTATATAATTATGTAAAAGTAAAACTTACGTAGGTTTTTACATCATTTTGTTAATTTTTAAACAGTTATTCGTTTCACGAGGAATTTACGAGGTAAAAAGTAATTTTGCGTAATTAAACATTTTGAAAATTTAACGTGGTTGTTGTTCTGTTCTTTGAAATTTATAGGACTTTTTCAGGACATAACAGACATTTTAAAGAAATCGGCGCTATTAATTATTGATAAGCCCAATTGTAGATATCTGGGTAACTGTTGAGTTTATGTATAACAAATAGCACATTACCTGATCATATAGTCTGTTACCTGAATCATACTTAGAATTCAATGGAAAATTGCAGCTGAAATAAATTTGGTATAAAAAATTGCATTTACAAATAAAAATTGCCACTGAATTTTAAATGAATTTATACATTACAGTATCTACAGACAAGTATGTTTCGGTGTCGAGAAACACACGAAATAGACTTTACGCTGAACTTTTATAGAGCTCCTGGACTAACAAAGCGGGTTTTCATTTTTTATACCTCAATAATTGAATTTTTCAGAAGCCATTTGCATCGCTGTTCTAAAAACCCAATTTTTATTCAACAGGTCGGTCTAACTGGGTTCCAGAGATGCAGAACCTTCAATCTTGCGAGAACTTTGAGGCGGATTAAAGAATTTGGTAAGTTTTGCTTTACCTTTCCATGTTTTCTAAACGTCCGATTTTTTGAGTCTTAACAGAGACATGGTTAATCCGACAAGGCTACAGTTAGTATCGGAGCCTCTGACTCTCACCTGGTTAGCTTAAACTACAATGGTAGTAAGGCTTTAATGTTAGTAATAAGTGGGGATTTAACACAAAAACAATGCTTAACTAAAAGGAAAAGGGGTTGTCCAAGCCAATTTCGAGCCTTACCGAACTCCGGCACTTCGCGTTTCTGCACGATGTACTGTTTAATCGGGCTGTTTCCATCGAACCCCGGCGTCCAGCTCACATTTACTGCTCGTTGACCACCGTCCTCAGTTCTAAAAGAACATATCGGTTATATTTAAAAACAAGTAAATTAATTTTTTCAAAGACTCACCTTTCGGCTTTAACATTTGTGGGCGCAAAGGGTAGTTCGATGACGCTCAACTTGGCAGAGCGGGTTTCGTTTCCCCCAGGAGATTGGACGGCACACGTGTAATGTCCCACATCAGACGCCCTCACGGCCTGAATTTCCAGCATTCCATCCGGCAGTATGTTGATTCTTTGACTGCCTCTAGGGTTTATCATTCTGAAAAAAAATCCCGTGAGAACATTTTTAGTCGATGTTAATTTTGCCCCATTTAGCCGGCGAAAAAGCAACAAAGCGGTGGTTTCTTCTAAAAAAGACACTCGTTCACTTGCTGGAGATAAAAATAACTTACTGTTTGTCTCGAAACCAATCCAACTGGTAGGGAACGGTAGGATCGCACGAAATTTTGCACTGAAGAGTAGCTGTGTGGCCCAAAAGGACTCTCGTGTCCACGGGAGGTTGCACGATCTGAGTCCGCACTAAGACGATAGGATGATTGTTAATCGATGCATTGCTTGGCGAAAAACCGCGCTATTTTTACCTAAAACTGAAAGATGTGCTGATCCCTTCACTTCGCCAGCCTCATTCGTTCGAAGACACGTGTAGGAACCGGCATCTTTTTCTCGTACAGCCGCGATTAGCAAATCGCCCGTTTCCAGAATCTGCACTCGGCTTGAAGTGGTTACTTCGTCTTTACCTAAAATAAAACACAACCATTTTTGTAAATTAGTTCCTTAAATAATAATTTGATCAGCTTGCGGCCACGAGTTATTATTATAAAATTGCGGTTTTGCGTTGACTTGAAAAAAATCCCAAGAGTTTCCTAGCAGCAGCAGCGCAACGAGCTGAAGCGTATCCCGGAATCCCCAGAGTGAAAATGTTGTTTAAAACGTTGTTGAACCGAATGGTGACAAGTAGAATTAGTGTTCAGGTAAAGAACAAACTGAACACCTTAAAAAGGTCTGGATTATATATTTTCAAGTATGCGGAACATATTAAATGTGCGTATTTAAACAAGAGTTCGAGAAATCGAGCACTTTGAAGTCGAAATAAAAAGGCTAAATAGGAGAAATGGAAGTTGGCAGACCGCAATTCGTATATATTTGAAGAAAGAAAAACATATATATAAGAAAAAATTTGCACAAAGTATTTCAAAACAAAAGTAAAATTATTAGGATTTTTTAAATTCTTTACAAAATTATACAGTTTTCTTAAAATAACGTATATATTTAACATCATGTATTAATTCTACGGACCCTAATAATGCTTGTGAATTTCTCTTTGTTTCCTTTTCGTTTCCTTGTCCATCACAGTAAACAATTGATTTTCCATATGAACAAACATAAATAATGTAAATTGCCGGATTGTGTGTTTGAAAGTTATCGATCTAAATCAGGAACATTGTGAAACTCATTAAGGCGATATTTTAAAATGATTCGTATGTTTTTGTACATAAACTAATAGGAAAAACATAACATTTGCCAATATTTGATTTGTTGCAAAAACAAATACCTGATTATAACAGGCCTAGTTATTAAAAATGTATTTAGTTTCTCTTAATTCCCTTAAGTTGTATTATTAATTCTTCGAGATCTTTAGTCTAAAAACCGACAACAAAATTATATTTTGTTCAGTCTTCCCAACGAACCCAATTTACGATTTTGTCCCTCTTAAGGTTTACGAGATCTGAATTTGTTACTGCCTGTAAACACTTTAAAAATTTTATTTTGATCAGAAATGTATTTAACTTAACATGACCACTTGCTTAAAATTGGTGGTAGCGAGTACAGTTAAGGTACAGTTTTACTGTATAATTTTAATGTTTTAATGAAATTCGCATAAACATCTCAAATTCACAGTTCTAAACCATAAGTAACATAGTTAGAAAATACCGAGAATACAATGGTAATGAAAGACCTAATTCCCTTTAGAGATTCAAATCAATTAAATTTAAACTAAGGATTTTTAGGATCGATAAGACTAGCGTTGTTGGAAGTGTAATTTTTTATTAATTATTTACAGAAGATAATTTCTTGACCGATAAAAGACCCATTGAACAAGTTGTCTTGGGGATTCGGTCTGGTCAGTGGTAAAAAAGTGAACGTATTTTAGCTACCAAGCTTTCGTTAATTAAAATGTTTGCCTTTATCAGGGCTAGCAAGACTACAATAAAATTACAAATTGAAATTACTATCCTAAAACGGCCTGGAAGCCTTGTAGTCCTTCCTTATACATTCACAATGATTAATTATAAATACTTTTACATTATTTGCAATGTTACTGGTAGGAAACTCCACCAATTTGCTTTTTGTAAGCTTTTAAGTGTTTTTCTTAAGTTTATTTAAAATCTAAATTTTTTTGGAATGGTCGAACAATTCGTTTCTTAAATGAACTGTGTGGTTTGAGCCTGTACTTAATGGAAAATTAATTTATTTTCATTTGGATTTATTTACAAGCATATCACTGCACAACATGTTATTTTGACTTCATGCGAGGGCAAAAATATACATTTCCGAAACCTCGATAGCGGAAAAACGTTCTGTTTTTACCACTGACCAGGCCGAATCCCCTAGACAACGTGTTCAATTATGTATGTTAGTATGATAATTTTTTATGAAAATATGAAAATCCACTCTAAACTATATAAAGTTTCAATCAATACTAGTTGCAATTATAATGCATGGTAATTATTAAAAAATGTAAATGGAAAACGAATACCACAAATATACGGGCCACTATGATTTAAAATTTCAATAGATTTTTTATCAACTGAATGAAATTTAGGATAACACAGTAAAAAACGAGCTATAACCATTTTAAGCAAATAAAACCTGGCTGATACTACAGATGTATGTCCAATTTCTAAATGTCCCGCTCAACCCAATGCTTTCGTTGGCTGATATGAAAAGACAATATTCTAAAAAATTTTCTAATATATTATGGGATACGTTTCGCTAACCGAAACAATAGCCCTTGTCAGTTTTATTATTCAAACGCACTTCCGAAAGGGAACATAAACAATTTTATTTTTACCACTAATTTTCCGATATCCGTTTTTTTGCCACATGTGAACGTTACATGTTTGATACATCGATAAATTGAATTTATTTCGCATTGGGCCGATGAAAAAGGATCCACTTTTCACTTACCGTTAAAAATCCAGGTCACATTGGGCAAGGGAGCCCCTGCGGCTCTACAAGTCAAAGTTGCATCTTTTCCATCCAAAACCGTGATATTTTTCGGCCCAAATTCCATCACCGGATGGGCGGCTAAAATTAAAACACTCTGTATAAAGACGGTTAAAAACAACATGTTTTCTAACGAATATGCCGCCGACGGTACGCAACGCATGCATGGTAAAAGCAAACAAACCAAAAACGGCAAAAACGACTGAAGGGAGGGTGAGATACCAGGTGGGCCTTCAGGTATGTGCGACCCTTGCGCGACATGCGATCTGGTGTTCCAAAATTCCTAATAGAAGAATGCACAAATAATAAATCGACAGGTATA